TAGTCTCTTCAATTCAGTAACTTTTAACACTTTGCAGGAGAATTTGTGCTACGCTGAATTATCCACCATATCCACCTCTACCTCATGTAAATAAAGAAACCTGCACATAAATATTTATTTCAGCATCCTTTGCACTGTCTATAAGTCAGTGTCTTTTTTGTTGAACTTGTTCATTTATGCTGTTAGTCTGTGTTTGTACATTGAGAGCAACGTGAAACCGGAGTCACATTCCTTGTATGTGCGCACATACCTGGCCAATAAAAGTGATTCTGATTCTGATTCGGTAAAAAATCAGTTAAATAAAGTCTGATTACTTGGAGGGAACCTGAATACTTTAGTATCTCTGTTAGTGATTAATTAACTTCATTAAGTTCTGGCTCATCACCTCAAAGCACCGGTAGTGTGTCCTCATCTCATACTGGACCCTGTGTTTTTTGAAGATGTGAACTGACTTCAGGACCGTCAATCTCTCGACGTCCTTGGGAGGTTCGTAACTGTGGCAGAGGAAAGAAAAAAGCAAATGCCAGTGAGATAAAGGTAGTACTGCAATATATGGCTGACACTGCTACTGTATTAGTACTCACATTTTGTCGATGGTGATGCCCAACTCTTGAGCTGCCATCTTAGCAAAGAACTCATAGCTGTCCAACACGGCCCTGTCGTGACCTTTGACCATCACTGACACCTTCTGAAACAGCGTGTCAGGCTCCTCTGTGACCGTGATCTGGCAAAGAAACGAGACACATGCACATTCGTTTGCGTTATCTTAATGTCGGGCTGTTAAAAAGCTATGACAATGTAGTAATAACTCACTGATGAAGGTGTTGATGAAAACACTGTCGCTGTGTGGAAGGAAGTGCTGGATGTCGATGGGAGACGGGACCTGCAGAGACAGAACAGTGAATCATTGCTCGCATTTTAACATCAGTTATTAAAATACCGAGTTTAGAGCTAATCTGTAACTGTGCTGTGAGATAACAGCTTATATAGGGTAGGTTTTGATTTCACACATCATATTTATATGTATATATAGAGAGAGATAAGTTACAGACACACATATCTATGTTGCAGCCTTTTACACTTTTGAATGACAAACTTTGAAAAAACTCTCCTTCTGCATCTATCTACAGCCTCATTAAACACCATTATTATCAATACTACTATACTATAATTCCATTTGGTAACACTTTATTTGAGTAGCCCCCCCCTGCAGATAGTTTATAGCGTAACATTTTAACAGCTTATTAGTTGAGACTCAACAACTATTACACCACTGTTGTTTAGGCTATATTCATGAATTGCTCTAAATTACTCTAAAGATAATCTGTTAAACATCTACAGGCAAAATTAAACAGTTGAAATGTTAAAAATATTATATGCACTATATACTATTTACTTACTTATTACTATTTATTTATGTTTTCACTCTATAAAATGTCCTTAAGCTTTAATTTTCCTTAGTTTCCTATTTTGCATTGGCTGTAAAACACATTAGATGCCAGAAAAAGTGCTCTAAAAATAAGATTTATGCTCTACAGAGATACATTTAATGGTAAACAACATGTGCAATACTGCTTTCACAAAGTATAACACATAACTGAGTAAATAAGTAGATTTGATTCATATCTGTAGAATCGGATGAAGGTTGTAATGATTCTGTAGTTTCTGATGTGTGTGTGTGTGTGTGTGTGTGTGTTTGTGTTTATTACAGTTATTGATAAACTACGTGGACTCAAACCGAGCAGAGAAGAGAACCTGCAGTTTACCTGGTTATGTTACATGTATTGTGCCCAGAACAGACTCCCAGAGCTCTCGGTGCCTGTGAATAAACAAACATTAATGAACATTGAGAGATGACATTTACTGTCCATGCTACAGCTGCCGTCAGAGACCCAATACAGAGACAACTTAAACCCTCACGCTGGTTCATTGTTTGCAGATTGTATGCAACACACACACACACAAATATATATAGTTACTGTACCAAATGGGAGATTCCACTTAATATCCTTGCCAAAGAACATAATTCTCGTCTGAGAGCCATGGGAGCAGCCATGTTTTCGGAGAAGGTGGGACAAGAGGAAAGAGTTGAGTTCATAATGCTGCCCTCATGTGTACTGGAGGGTAAACTACTACTGGGGCAACTGGGAGCTGAATTCCCCCCAGATCACACAGCTGGACGAGCTACTGGTGCCCTGGAGGACCAACGTTACTATTATAAACAGATTTGATATATTACATACATTTGTTTTGCAATTTTGGGCAAATAACTTACTTTAGCAACTCAATTTTTGCACACCATATTCCATTTTATTGCATATTACATATAGTGTATACATTTTCAATATAGTTTATATATTTTCTATTATATCTTTATTTTTCTTTCTTTTATTGTTTTTCTACTATATTTAATAATCAACCACTTCAGTAATAATCCCTAAAAAATATTAATATATCACTTAGAGGGGCAATTTTCCTGCATGAGTACTTATTTTAGGATAATAACAATGTACTTTTACTGATTTCGGGCCTATGTGTGTGTACAAAAATGGGTGAAAAAAATATAAAGACTCTCCCAGTAACCCCCCCCCCCATCCCTCTGCATCATAATAAATGAATCAACTCGTTGACAATAAGCAATGTCAATAATTACTGGCCAAGACCATACCATAATTCACCGTGCAATCTATTGGCCCATGTGCAAACTGGCCTACTATTGTGTTATCTGTGGTTTGGAGTCTTACTGTTTTTTCTCTTGTACATAATCTTATATTCATTGATTAATATATTATTATAGTGATTTCCCTACCCCTTACTGTTCTTATACTGTTTTCTCCTCGCCCACATCCTAGTGTTTATATGCATCACTTATCACCTATTATGTCCAAAAAATTAAAATTAGTATTCGCCTACTCCTTACTGTTTATAGTAACTGCGTTTTCTCTCTTGTAGATAGTGTTTATATTATACTTATATACGTTGATAATTCATTATAGTATCCCTACCCTTACTGTTATATACTGTTTTTCCTCCTATCCACTTCTGCTGCTGTAACAATGGGATTTCCCCCCATTGTGGGACAAATAAATGAATATACTTAATCTTAATCTTCACAATAAAAATACACTACATGCAGTAAACAAACCAAAATACAAGCGTATATAACCAACCGTAACACGTTAACAACTGAACGTTTCCATCTATCCCCTTTTAAAAAGAAAAAAAACCGCGGTCATAATGGACTTACACAGCCACACCACAGCACCACACCACAACACATCCGCACACACACACACACCACCACACCACACCACACACACAGAGTTCATTGATGTGACCTGCCGAAATTTAACCTTGGCGTCTAAAATCGAGCGTGTCTGCGTCACGTGACACAAGCTTGTCGGGCCGCTGCCAGTGAACAGAAGGCAGTCTGGCGGGGGCAGAGAAGCGGCAAAGCCAAGCAAGCGCGGTACGAGCAACGGAGCACGGAGCAACGGAGCCCAACGGAGCAACGGAAAGCCTTCAAACTGCCATGTCTGATGGTCCCGGCCCCCCTTTGTTGACGACAGGTCCGTATCGAGCGCTCCCCACTTTGTCCACCACGCCAACGACCTACTGGGCCCCGTTCAGAGCTGGCATGCTAATATAAAAGACCAACAGAAACCCAACAAACCGCTGACAATGAACCGTCCGGCTAACGCGGTAGCACGGTAACCGCCGCAGTACCACGCAGCCAGCGGCGCGCGGTGGACGGAGGCGCTAAGTTTCCCCCGCGATGCGTGGTGGCCTGTGCGGCGGGTGGACGGAGGTAGTCCCCGCTGATGTGGGGTGGCCTCGCGCCCGCGGTGACCGAGCTATTCCCCGCCCGATGGTTGGCCCTGCTGGGCGGTTGAGGTTCAGCCTAAGTTCCGTGAGCCTATCGCAGGCTGTTCTTTGGTGCGGACGTGGGGCGGGTTCGGGGTGGAGGGAGGGAGGCGACGTTAGCTGCACTCCCCCGGTTAGCTCCGCCTGCACCGAGGAGATAAATGGAGGAGAGGGATTTATTTTGTTTGTTTTTAATCCCGCTTGTTGACATGTTCTTGTACCGCGAGCCCACAAACAAGCTCCAAACAACCCGGACTGTAGCTGCTAGCGGGGGAAGCTAACAGTCGCAGCTCACGTGATGGGCTGTTTTTTGAGTGTCAGTCCGGTAACCCTTGGTGTCACTCCCAACCGTTGGTGTCAAGTCTGTAACCGTTAGTGTCAGTGTGGAACCGTTAGTGTCCAGTTTTATCTCTTTAATCCGTTACGAACAGGATACTTTTTTTTTACTGTAACGGGTTTTTATTGTTCGGAATGGTGATGTATAACTATACTACCTATAAATAATAAATATATATAAATATATATATGAGATGCTGTTGTCAGTTATTGGGTTTGTCGTGGACGTTATCTTCTCTCATAATGACAGTTGACTTAATCTAAATGTCGGTTGTGTTTTCATGCAACAGTTGTCCATTTTATAACGGCTGTTAACGTCCGTCGGTTCGCCCACAGCTCTGTCGGTTATCAAGGGGTCTATTTTTTCCCATATTTTCTAGTTTAAAAGGGGCTTTATCTGCATGAGATACAGCCGTTTACATCGCCAAATATATGTTAAACAGGTTAATAAGGAAAGTAACTTAAAATAAAGTGGAATTTATAGTTAAATCACACAAATACAAATAGGTGAGAGCTTTCTTTTAATGTAAATGTGTGTTAGGTTTTTACATATTGGGGCAGCAAGATGTCTCCCTCTCCTGTGATTAAATGTTAAATGCGAAGCGGCCTTGGCGGGCTGATCACGATTCAATTATAATACATAAATAGTAAAAAAAAAAAAAAAAAGAAAAAAACTTTTGTGAGACGTTTATTTTTAACAAATGACCTTAATGTT